AGTCACCTGATGAATATAGCACCCCCATGACCTAATTACCCTCAAACATAGGAGGCTTTGGGGATACATTTTAGATTTAGGCCATAAAATAGTTATGTCAGTATTGATATATTCATCAGAATTTTCCATTAAATATTTGTTTATTTTCAGGTATATTTGCTTACTTAAATTACCATGTTCCTCGCACAAGACGAGAAATCTTGGAGACGCTGATCAAAGGCCTTCAGAGACTGGAGTACAGAGGATATGATTCTGCTGGTATTTTCTTTAAAAAGAGTTATGAATTTTGCTTGATTCTGTAATGTATTACTGTTTTAGGAGACCAGGTTTTACTGATGTCTGTTTTGTTAAGTCAGATCTTAAGAATTTCATTTTTTATCACATTTAAAAATATTAATTTATGTAATGTCAACACTATTTGACATTTGTAAGGATTACTTCCTTGATAATCTACTTTTATTAAATGTTACTATGGGGGGGAAATAAATGTTACTATAAAAACATCAGGCATATGGGACATTTTCTTGGGAACAAAGTTCTTGAAGATCTTGCTGTATAAATTTTGTTTTCTTTACAGTAACTTTAATTTCTTTTTCTACATGGATTCAGGCTCTTGTTATATAAACTTACCTGAGATTCTTCTGAAAAACCAAATAAAAATAATTTTCTGACAACTTTATGTTTGACTTTAACTCCTGCACTATTTGGAGGTCTACAAAACTACTCTTAGATTCCACAATTCCTTAGGAGAATCATGAGATTCAACATGCAGTTGTACTCAAAGCTATGATTTATTATAGCAAAAGAATAAAAGCAGCCAGGTGTGGTGAAACATCCTGTAATCACAGCACTGGGAAGGCTGAGGCAGAAGGATCATTGTGCATTTAAGGCCAATCTGAACTGCATAGTGTGTCTCAAAAAAAAAGCAAAAAGCAAAATTAGCAAAGGGAAGAAGTTTATGTGATAGAGTCTGAGGGAAACCAGGCATAAGCTTCTAAGAATTCTCTTCTGATAGAATAGCAGAATATTCTTAGTTTCGATGAGACTGAGTTGTGATAACACACAAGAAACATATACCAGGGTAGCTCATTAATGTCCCAATATAGTTTTTACTAGCTGGTCACATAAGCATCGGATGCCTAGTACCTACCAAAATTCCCAGCTCTTAAGG